TTATTTGCATTTTTATAATGAATTGATGCAATGCAAACTAAACTCAGCAAGTTTTCGRGGCAATGCATCAATGACGTTGACCCGCAGAGCTAAATTTATTAATCAGTAGAAAATCGGGGATTGATTTGATTAAGTTTGTGCAACGTTTTCAATACTCAACTCAAATGTTTGCCTTTTTTTTGGAGGAGTTTGAACGAACATAGTAAAGGGCTAATGGTTATCGAAATCAAGGAAGCGTTGAAATGATTCTATCTTAACATCTTCCAAAAAGTTGATGCAGCTGGAATCCTTTAATATATTCAATCGTGCTGTTGGAGTCCGGATTGGGGAGTGTTCAGCCAGAACTCTTACAACCACTGAAAGGTGGACCTTACTGAGAGCAAAGAGTTCTTTAGACCGTCTGCGATATATCGTGCGGCAGAAGAACCTCGCGACTGCACAGCTGCTGGCAGTCGGCCAGAGCTTGCTGCTTTGGTCTAAGACCCAACAGTCTAGTAGTGAGCCACAGGATGCTAAAGAAGCTCCTACCCGTTTCATTTCTCTTTCAATGAGACGAAAGCGTGTATCCTAGCCTTATAGTTTCCCGCAATACCGCTATAGTCAAGTTCCGTACTGAGAACGAAGAGTACTTCCTATGATTTACCCTGAAACTTCGCGACTGCGAAGCCTCTGGCGGTCGACCAGCGCTTGCTTATTTGGTCTGAGGCCTAACATTTGTGAGCCACAGAAATCTAAAGGAGCTCCTACCCGTTTCTATTCCACTTTTATTGAGACCGAAGCCACTGCTCATGAGCTTTACAGTTTCCCAAAATACCGTTATAATCAAATATCCATGTCTAGTCATGAAATAACTCGATTCTAGAAATAGAGAGTCGAGACATCCATTCACTAGGATTGCGCGAGTTGCCTTACTAAAGGAGTGGATAGTCAACTCTCTGAAAGATGTGGTGCTCTGGAGCAGCAGATCTATTGCTATCTTTATAACATCCACCTTGGCTTGAAAGACTCTGCAGTGGTCAGAAATCCGAAACTTTTAACTGATGGAAAGTTTCTGACAGTGTACTCCTCCATCAATCAAGAAAAGGAAAATACTATGCTATAAAAAAATTATTTTTTTATAAATGACTAAGCCGGGAAATTGATCTCAATAATAAATAGCCACAAATATGTCACCAATTGGTAATTTTGCATGATAAAAGCGCAGAAAGTGAGTTTTACCTGTGAAAACTAAAAAAGAGAGCATAAGCTCTGGATCAAACAATTTCTTCATATTCATAACCTATAATCAATCTTTTCAGTATTCAGTCTTAATTCAAAAAGCTTCAAAAAATCTTCTTATTTAAAAAGCTTTCATGTTCCATACCGACGAAAGAGCGTAGTTATGAAAAATACAGAAAAGTTTAACTTGCAAACAGAGGCGACACTATGGGGCAAAATTTCGAAAAAAAGAGACAATTTTTAGTATCGATATTATAAGGAATTTTGAAGGACTTTCCAATAACTTTGTTTTCAATTTATCCGAAAAAGTCATATGGCTTTCGCCGGTAAGTATTCTGGTCACTTCTTTAGCATTGTTCTTGCTTAAAGTTGTATATTTTTCTGAAGGAATCCAAGCATGAAAAAAACATTCGATGATGAAAAATCCATCAAAAATATTAATTCGATTTTCGAATTTTGTAAAACCTATGAAAACAAAGTCGGAGTCCTAAATGTATTGGCCTTCCAAAGAGTGCCAATAAACAAATAYAGTCGTTTAGTTTTTATGAAATTTCCAATAGATCAAGAATTTGCATACTTAAGTCTTTGGAACAATTACATTATATCAAGCAAAAATAAAATTACCAACAACCAACACACGCTATGCGCTGAAACTAAGTTTTTGGCCTTCAGTTGCAGTGCATAAACTCTGCATTAGGCGAGGCTATAAGTATAGCGACACATGGGATCAGCAGCACAACAAAAAAGGGCGCCAACACGCTGTGACAAGAAATCTTTTGCACCTATTTGTGTAAGCGTATTGAAGCGTTTTCAGGTATTGCTTGCCTACATTTAGGCGTTGACAATGGCAAACTTCGGCGCAGAGAACGGATGTATTTGCCATTGTGCTGTAGTGTGAAAATGCAAAACTTTTTATCGGCGTGCGCAATCTCAAAGAAGGTGTCGATGTGTAGTTAAAGACAGCAGGCTTCTACTCGTGTGTGCATGTGTGTGGTTGTGTGGGAATTAATCTGCTAATTTTACAACGTGTAATTCGGCAAGTAAGACAAAGAAAACACAACCCTATGCAAATACTCGTCGAACGCTTGTTATTGGCATAAAACTTGGGAATTTGAGAAATTGTATGCGCGCTTGAACTGCTTGACAATAATAGCGAGGGTGTTCATGTTATGCTTGCTTTGACTTGACTTAGTGCGAAATTTCACTTTGCTTTCATATGTAGGCGTCAGTGTAACTTACTTTGCAAACTAAGATCTTTCTGGTGTAATTGTTAACTTTCGCAGCGCCAGATGTCATAAGTATTTTACCCATAAAAATGAAAAAGGTTGTGTAACTTCAATATAAAAATCATAAGACTTGCTGTCGTTCATTATTTTATTTAGCGATAATTTGTTTCTGTGTACTCTCGAACGATTAATCTTATGTAGAACTAGGTCTACCATGGATCATRTGTCATAATTTTCTCATTATGGAAAATTTCACGAAATTCTCTATAATTTTAAAAATGAGAGCAAGAGAAYATATATTTYCCCAAATTTCCAACAATACAGTAGTGAATTATTTATTAACTTTTACCATTTGTTTTTTTTACTAAGGACCTTTGGCAATTGATGCGGTTTCTGTATGTTCTGCAGTTGCCAGTATGTCAAATTTAATGACAATTGTAGCCAAAGCTAACAAACTCATTATTGTTACAATTTTGTTGAATCCTGTGACAAGAATCAGAACAATAAGGGGAAAAGTTGTTTGAATTTTGTATAATTGGTCACCAAAATCGAATTTGACAGTTGACTGTCATTTAAGTCATATTTCTCACTAAAATCGAGTTTGACATTATTATTGGATTCTATGACTTTCATTCAAGAAATATTCTTGGTAATTGGCATTTGATCATAAACATATATTTTAACAGCAGCGCCATCTATCGAACACATTTTTCTTTTAGGACATGGCATTTATATGAGAACCAAATACATACTAAATCCGAATAGACCAGGGAAGTTTTCAAGACAAATAGATAGCAGGATGAAATTCATCAGAAACGAAAATAAAAWTATTAGACATTAGAGGAAACCTAGTTTACGGGGTAACAGAGGTTGGCAAAAGTAAAGTGACGGTATTGGTAATATTTTTAAGGTTTAAAACTGGTTTATATCGATTTCCGRCAAAACTACGAGTCCAATAGAAAAARGTTATATSGCATTGTTGTGGATAATGAAAAGGTCTATAACTTTTGTACACAAAATTGTTTCACATAATCTCAAAATATGTATGAAAAATTTCAAATGACCCAGTTTTTGTGCGTCTTTTCAAATTATATTTCAGAATTTTTTTTTCCATGAAAGTACACTAACCAACTTATCTTTTTATGTCCGGAASATGTTTTTTTTTT